CTCCAGCGTCTGCCAGATCACACCTTCTAGTCATGGTAGTTCATCTAGACATCATCATCATCATCATCCTCAACACAACCAGCTTCAGCTTCAGCAGCAGCAGCAGCAGCAGCATTGACGCGGTCGGCAGCGGGGCAGCCTGGGCAGCAGCAGCCGCAACAGCAGCAGCCACAGAGACTGTAACTCCTACAATGAAATAGCCATGAGCAGCTGCAGATACAACGGCGGCGTCATGCGGCCGCTGAGCAACTTGAGCTCGTCCCGCAGAAACATACACGAGTTCGATTCCGAGTCCCAGCCGCTGCAGCCGGTCTCGGCCGCGGACCCCTCGGACACTCTCGCATCCAAGCGGGAGAACAATTCCACCACCCTGATGCCTTACGCATCGGGCGACGGAGGAGGAGGCTGCGGACACGGAGGAGGAGGAGGAGGAGGATGCGGCGGCGGCAGCGGCAAATCGGGTAAAAAGAAGAACCAGAACATTGGGGAGAAGCTGGGGCACAGGAGGGCCCTGTTTGAGAAGAGGAAGAGGCTCAGTGACTATGCTTTAATCTTTGGGATGTTTGGGATCGTTGTTATGGTTATAGAGACTGAACTGTCATGGGGAGCCTATGGAAAGGTGAGTATCAGACTCACAGCTGTGAGTTCATTTAGTCACATGTGACTGAGTGAAATTCACTTCTTCCTTCTCCTGCCTCTGACTTGTTGAAAGAAAACGCAGCCCAGTAAAAGTGCCCACATGCAGGCCAAAAGGCCCACACTCTGCTCCCACAATGTGTGAATGGGGTTTAACAGGATGCCATGTCAGCATTTGTTGCAAGAAGCTACAATAAATCCTCACCCTACTCTGATGTTTTTTTTGTTGGTTTGTTTGTTGTTTGTTTTCTGAGACGTACTGTGTGGGGCAGCAGTTTTATAGCTCTGAGAAGTACTGTGTGGGGCAGCAGTTTTATAGCATGCCTTTGACAAAGAGTGTGATTTTATTGCATGATGCTGTGTTTGGCTGGGCTTTAGTGTTGTTGCTCTCTTCCAGGAGTCCCTGTATTCATTAGCTCTAAAATGCCTGATAAGCCTTTCTACAATCATTCTCCTGGGGCTGATTATCATTTACCACGCCAGAGAGATACAGGTAATGTTACAACTCTCATTCCTTCTGTTTCATCCCTGTCTGTTCTCCTCTTTAATCTACCGTATGCTCACATAAAGTGCACAACAGTTTGATGCTTATGTTTATTGATTTACTAGATTTAAGAAACTAAAACAGTAACACTTTGTTTCATTTCTTGTCATAGATAGACTTGATGATGTGAACTACCAGGTTATTTAAACTTAGTGTCTCAAACACTGTTTCTCAAATGGTGGGTCGTGGACCATACGTGGGTTATTTGGCCATGTTTAGGGGACGTCAGACTTGATATAGATGTTAATCCCAGTTGTGTACAGCCTCCCAATCACTCTCTCCATTCAGTCATTTATCCTAGTAGGCACTGTATATGTTAAGTTTCTCAAATGGTGGGATGTGGCCCAAATGTGGGTCGCGAGACTTCATTTGTTTTTGTGTTGAAGTCTGATGTGTTTTTACATCAGACTTCTATCCATAACAGATACCATTACTACCTGTTATATCCAGCTCTACAGCGCCACCTTCCTTGCTCACCCTATTGAGCTCATTGAACACGTTGACATAATGTAGTCTAAAACAAGGTTTCTAAAATGGTGATTTGCAAACCAAAAGTGTGTCTCTGGGTAAATTGGCTGCTTGACGGACACCAACTTTTGACATTGTTTGTACAAAAAAAATCCTTCTTCATAAATTTTGCCAAAGTGCTTATTGGAGTTTGCTAAATATCTGACTGACCCATTAACGCCACCATGTGGTGTAAAGCTGTATATTGTACATTATTGAGCGTCTCATTAATAACAGTAATACTGCTCTTGTCTACAGTGAATTCCAAAGTCACTCACAGGTCAATTTCTGAGGCCCTGTAGATGGTGCTTGTGGCCAAACTGTGGGACACGGCCCCATGGTTAAAAACCACTGCTCTACGGCATGTAGCAGATTCTTAGTTTAGTGAAACCGGTACTGTGTATTTTGCTGTGTATTTTGTCTTCACATTTCCTTGCACTGTGAAGTAAAGATCAAGTTAAAGTGTGGGTCAGGAGGTCTGACCATTTAAGAAACACTTGTCTGCATAGATGTCTGTGGATGTTTTCCACTGAGGCCTGATCATCTCTGGATCAATACCTACATTAGTGGTTTCTGATTAGATTTCCAGAAGTCCTGACGGTGTGAAGAGCAGGAACGTAGATCGTCAGCTCCGCTCCAGATCTCTCAACACTCGGGGACAGTTTTATGGCCCTGTTTCAGAGCATTGTTGCTACACTTTTAGTCCTTTCATCACCTCAGCACTTGTGTCTTATATTGAGTTGCCCTCACATTAATTACACAGCCCGTACTGTACTGCAGGGTGAACAGACAGCACACTACCGTAAAAGCACCCAGGAGCTGAATTTCTCTTTTCTCTTTCTTCGCTAAATGTAAAATATTACCACCATGTCCGCCACGCGGTTTAGAAACGTAGACAAGCCCAAATGTCAAAGGTCAAATACTACGTGTCTAAAATCGAATTAAACAGCGCTCGTCACTGTGTTCATTATTGATGGGCTCTGAGGGATTATCAGTGACTAAAATAACCCATCAGTAACATATGTCGCCCCCTTCAGTTCTCTCGTTGAGTAACTTTTTTCATGAGAAATGATGGGAAGGCAGTGACATCATCACCATATTTCTGTGGATTACAGAGACGCTGCCTTTCCTCTGCAGACAGCTCTCTCTGGCTGTTTGTAAATTAGACCGGTTGCTGTAAGTTTGCATGAGAGTATCACATTCCTCCTTCTCTCCTTCCCCCACTCGGCCTCCACACCTTCCCTCTAATCCCATGTAAATTATTCAGCTCATAAACTGAGCTTTTTTACCTCCCGCCTGCACAAACTTTCCTTGACACCAAATAATGGAATGATTTACTTGTGACTCATGTCTTGCAGACGGTGGTTTGTCACCGCTGTAGCTCTCATTTTAATGACTGTTACAGCAGGCTGTCCTAAACTGTTAACGACTCACCGAGTAAACACTGCGGTCAGTAGAAAGCACTACAATTGGCCTCGGTTTAACCAGGAAACTAAAATAGTTTTACGAGAATAGGAAACCTGGCAAAAAACCGACAGAAAAATAACAAACATTAAGCTAAGAAAAGTGAAACTTGGCTGAAATGAATAAAACAATTTCTTGTGAAAACGTGTTAAAATATTAACATTGTAAAAGATATTTAAATATTCACACTAGTTTGGGTAAATAAAGAATTTAGAATTAACAGAAACCAAGTCTCTGCTTTCCTCAATCTTTAAAAAAAATGACCTAAATTCACCCAGAGTTTTCAAATGGGAACATTTTAGCATCCCTCAAATCTTATTCTAGGAAACTGGAGCAATACGGTAAAAAAAGGAAAACTTTTACCAAGTTCTGTTTGGATTCTCAGAACTGGCGTTTCTAAGATATCGTGAAATTGTTGTCCATGGTGGTTTTAGTCTGCGGGGACAGAGCTGCCTGAGGATGATATTCAGAAACAGGAATAAAATGATGTTGGCACCGCTCCGGTCACACTGTTGTTCAGACCGCACACATGAATGTCTTCCATTAACGAAACAGTTAATGAAGTCGTTTAGGTGACANCGAGAAAACAGCAGGTTCTGATGAGATTCTACGGTGGCTTTATTGCTCGTACTATGCAGTGAGATAATAGTTATAGCCGTGATAAAAACAGATGCCATTCATGCCATGGTCCAACAGCACTGGGTTCACTGAAAGGGGACCTGAGCCCTCTCTGTAGACCGGACCAGAGGCTAATGGATCGATGTGCTACAGTGTGTTTTAGTCAGAAATGGCCAAAGTACAGTACCGGCTTCGAAATATGAGTTAAATTCGTTCTTCAACAGCACTCGTCTGTCGATCCTCTCGTATCTCGATTGCATTTTTCACTGATAAAATTAACTAAAAACCATTTAATTCATTCCAGCCCCACAGAAATATACTTTTTTCATTAAATTAAACTTCCCCCCATCTAGATATACACAAATATATTGATAATATAAAATAAGAATAATTAAGAAAACATGTTATATTATTGTTATAAAAATGGGTAAAATAACAGTGTCGGGGCCACTAAGCGTAGGAGAAGGACTGGGAGTGAGAACTCGATTTGGATCATAGAAAGAGAGAGAGAGAGAGAGAGGGTGCTGAGTGGAAAAATGGAGCTTGGTTGAGCACTCGTAACTCGATGTTTCCTCATATCCATTTACCACGAGGAAAATCTCGCAGTAGTTGCTTACTCCTAAGTTAGAAAGCCCGTATTTCGTGGTGCATGTTGCGTCTCACCTGCAATAATATTTTGAGCATATCAAAAGGCAAAAAACGAAGTGTTGACATTCCGCCTCATGGGTGTCCTCTGTGAAAAGCCCAACCGCATTTCGAAAAGTGTGATTATGTGATCAAAAAGTTCTTTTGTACGACTGCTTTGTTCGACTCTGTACTTCCTCTTTGACGAAGACTGTGACGCACAGAGCCAGAGTTGTGCGTTTGTCACATTAAAATAGCGAACAGCAAATCCTTCGTAGCAGGTCAAATGCTAATTTCATCTGTGAAATGAGCTCCTCTTTTTCTGCAGCAGCTGCAGACGTAGTCTACCCCGCAGGAACACTACTTAATACCCCTTTGATCCAGTCTTCTCTGTCTGACAGTCACATCAATATCCAAAAGCATGTTTTTACCCTGCTGCCCACCTTCTCTTTTTACATCAGAGATGTTTTCTCCTCATCTGACTCACAAAACCTTATCAGTGCAATTTATATATATGTATATATGTACAGTATGTATTGTATATATGTATACATATACATGTTTACATATATATGTATACATGTACTTTTTGCCCTTCATATATCTGAAGGGCAAAAAATTCCCATAAAAACAACAGACACAAAAGACATTGAACTTAGCGCAGTCCAATATATGGAGTACAACTGGTCCATGTAAACAAAGTTGTCGTCTGTTTACAGAGCCACGTGATGGCGTATTTATCCACTCCACTTCGTGTTGTAACGCTGTAAGTTGTAACGATGGAACAGGACTTTTTTAATACAGTTATGGTAGATGCGACGTAACCACGAAGCGCCGTAGGTCGAGGCGACGTTGTAAATTTTGTATAGATATATAAATATATTAATGTGTGTGTTTTTGTGTACTGTATATTTGTGGAAGGCTTGAAGAAGGTTAAAAAAACAGTCCAAAAAACGTCATCACGCCGTGTGTGCGTAACTTACTGACTTACCTCTTACTGCATCACATCCTTTGGTCCTAATGCTGATACTGTGGACAAGTGTCTCTGTCAAACCATTTCAGTCCAGTTTGCAGTGTTTACAGTTCAACCTCTACCTCAGTTGCTGCTCCTTTTCCTTTGTGCCTCAAGGGCTTTGGTGCTGGTTGTTGCTAATCTGTCATTAGTTGGTTCTCCCTAAGTGACACACACACATAGTCACACACACATTCATTTAAAATCTATCTGCCTAATGACCCACACACACACTGCTCTCAGTGTGCTGCAGTGATGTTGTTTCTGTGTGTGTGTGTGTGTGCGTTGCTTACTACATAAACGCAGGCTGATCAAAACCATTTCATTTGATTTGATCTGAACGTGTGTGTTCACACACATTTTGTTTGCCTATGTGAGATGGCATAAATCTAAAGACCTGAACTGAAAGACCCTCGTAGCTTGAAATATAACCCAGGTGACACACGGCGGGATGAGAGAGAAAATCAAATTCACTTTTTATTGCCGCTATTTTGTTATTTCCAGACTCCAATATAACAACGAGGCCTCGTTTAAACCCCATAAATCGCCTCGGACTAAAAAAGCACCGTGATGTGAAAGAGAGAGAAGCAGGGAATCACAACAAAACCCTGACGCCGGCGAAGCTGCTGATGATCAACCAAGGCAACTGCTGCTGGTCAAAATCTCACTGACGAGTAGTTTCATTTGTGGAATTGAATCTCACCTTCAAACATCTGCAGTCCCG